GAGAATGAGTTTTGCTTGCTAAACACTAACTTCTGTGCTGATGTGATATCCTTTCATATGATCCAAAAATATCAGATTGGTTAACATACACAGAACTGTAACAGTATCAGTATCTTCCACTTGCTTTAATTTAAGGCAATTAGAAAAATATCAAGAGATGGGTGATATGTTTGGGAAAACAAACTTTCTTAACATTTCTGCTGGTGATAATTCCTAGTTTTTTGAGGTCAAGGGAAAAAAACTACAGTATTTTTTGAGGTCAAGGGAAAAAAACTACAGATTTCCTGTTTGGAGCTTCATTCAGTAGCAGGCAACTGCTTTCACTTAGCAGAAACTAAGTTTCACTTAGAGGAAACAAAGGCTTTGTTTCCTTTTTTGTAAAGAGCCTATGATAATACTTTGTCAAATGCTTTGTTTTCTTTTTTCATTAAGATGGTTCCTTAAAATAAATTAGACTTATCAAAACTTTTCGTTTATTTTTAAGGATAAGTAGCATTTTAGAATTGATTTACAAAAGGAATTTGACAATTATAAAAATTGGATTGCTTTAAATTTCATTTTAGCTTTGCCTTTTGATGTGACCAGTGTAATCAGAGATTTAAAGCACTGAAATTATTTAGACTAGTGAAAAGGTATGTATGTCATACCCACTGGACCAAAGGTCCCTGACTTTTCCCCAGTGAGAAACTAATTTTGATTTGTCCAAAGTCTTGTGAATAGGTTATTAAGGTAGGTGGTGATAGCTCACAGGTTACTGGTCAGGACAGGAAATGTTAGTTTGTGTGGTCTTGCTTTTGAAAGTATTTCCTCTCTTTGTTACAGGACTTTTTTTTTTTTAAGTTGCTGAGATAAAGGTTGGGGATGTTAAAAAAAAGTCTATTTTTTTTTCCTGTTTAGTTGGAAACATAGCTTGTGGTTAGTTGGGGACACTTGAACAGAAAACAACATATATAGTTTTGCATCTGTTTGCTTTTATATCCACAGAATCCATAAAATATTTCTGTTTTGTCCAGGTTATATATAACCCTAACCGTTCATTCAGCCCTTGAACAAACATTTATCTTCAGCACCTGCACATAACCTGACACATTATCTACTCAGTTCTGGAAAGATTTATGAAGTACCTGCTTTATCAAACAATGTACTACAGCTGGAAGTGAAGGCTCAGCAGAGGTGCTCTTGTTCTCAAGTGCTTGAAATTCAGTGGTAGAGACATAACATAAAACACAAAACAGAACAGCCCATCTTTTAGCTTTTGAGATTTTATTTGTTCTTATATTCTAGCTTGCACTAACTTTATTCTACATTGCTTGAATCATGGAGCCCCCTCTAGACTATAGACCTGATTAATTTATAAGCTGCTAATGATACTTATAAAA